TCCCAGTCATGATATGCAGACCCCATGTGTGACTCCAGGGTTTAACACAGATGTGTTTCAGAACTCAGAAATATTTGGATCTCAGGTCATATAATGTACATAACACATATTATATAATACCCACTGTTCTGTGTCAGCACTGTGTAATCATGCACATTAATGTTTCTGCATCAAAGAGTATGATTATTTAGGCCAAGTAGAATAAGGACTATAAATACTATCAGTTCAGGTCATGTTTTGCTGCCAAATGAGGGCAGGAAAATGTTTAGTTTTTAGAGTTTTTTGGATTTCAGAATTTGAGATAGGAGATTATGGCCCTGTAGATATTCAGTGGTCTGCTGGAACTGGTCAGCTGCAGTTGGTGATGCTATGTTGGTCATTTGAAATCAGCCGTGGTAGGGGTATTTATTGCCATGGGCATCAGTAAATGCAACAAAGCTTTTCTGCTCCCTGGAGATCACGTTGTTAAACATTACCAGTAGAGGATTATATGTGCCTATTATATGTATAGTATATATGTATATTTTTACCGTTGTGGCAAACCAGTTTTCTCACTCTACACAGCGTAGAACAAAAGGCTGAAGTTTCCAGGGAAGCATAGAAAAAATTAAGAAAATCAATAGGATGGCAATAAGAGAAAATGGGAAAAACGGAAGCTTTGGAATTAGATAGATGTGGGTTCAAATTCTAACTCCGCTATTTCCAGACTGTGTGATCCTTGGTAAATCACTTACCTTATCTGGGTCTCAGTTTACACATTTGAAAAATAAGGACTGATACCTTACTCTTAAGGTTGTTTTAGGGAGGGGCGTCTGGGTGGCTCAGTCGTTAAGCGTCTGCCTTCGGCTCAGGTCATGATCCCAGGGTCCTGGGATCGAGCCCTGTATGGGGCTCCACGCCCAGCGGGAAGCCTGCTTCTCCGTCTCCCATTCCCCCTGCTTGTGTTCCTTCTCTCGCTGTGTCTCTCTCTGTCAAATAAATAAATAAAAAATCTTAAAAAAAAAAAAAAAAAGGTTTTTTTAGAGATACAGAAATTAGATATCACATGCAAAGTGCCTGACATAGAATGAGCAGAAAATGATATTCTATGTTTATTATAAGCTTTGCTTTTCTGGAAGTATTTATTTCTGTAGACATGACTCCCATTCTCTAACATTCCTAATGCCCCCACAGAAAATACATGCAGTTTGGCACTTGTGTGTTTTCTGGTTAGTTCATCCTGTGTCCATTGACCTCCTTATAAAGATGATCCTTGACTTCTCTTGAGCATGTTTGTGTAAACTAAATGTATAGGCCTGTGCTTTTTTCCCATGAAAAGCTTTTAGTCATTGACTTAATAAACATTAATTGAGCATCTATTACATATTAATGTGCTATGTGCTGGTGATAGTGAGATTAACAAGACATAGACCCTCCTTATATTTCAGTGGAATGATAGATAGTTGGGCAAGGAAGCCAACTATTTAAATGCAGGGAAATTAGGAGGCTTCTGTAATCAGCTGGGTGAGAAGTGATGGTGATATGAACTAAGATAATGGCAGTAGGAATGGAGGAGAGCTGTTTCACTCAAACATAAAGACTATAGAACTGGATAACTTGGAAATGATCTTGCTTTCTTTCTCCCTGTCCCATCTGAGATCTCTGGCTTTGCCTTCTGCATAGGTGGTGGTGCCATTTATCAATATAACATGTACATGAAGAGGATCAGATCTTGAGCAGAAAATGATGGGTCCAGTTTTGGACCATGTTAGTTTTGAGGTGTGTTTAGGGTATCTGGGTAGGGTGACCATATAATTTTATCATACAAACTTGAACATTTATGAGAGTAAGTAGGATGTGCTGTTAATAATGAAGGCTGGGGCAGTAGGTATAATACTGGACCTGTCCTGGAAAAACCAAGGATGTCAAGAAAAGATCAATAAATATCAATATCAAGCAAAAAGTATAGAGTGAAAAGAGCAGTGGGTTCAGTGGAGTACTGGAGAAATTTTTTTTAAATTTAAACTCAGTTAGTTAAGATATATATTATTAGTTTCAGAAGTAGAGTTTAGTGATTCTAAACTAAACTTGTACATATAATAACAATCAGTTATATGTACAAGTTGCATATAACACCCAGTGCTCATTACATCAAGTGCCCTCTTTAATGTCCATCACCCAGTTACCCCATCCCTCCATCCCCCTCCCCTCCAGCAACCCTCAGTTTATTTCCTATGATTAAGAGTCTCTTATGGTTTGTCTCCCTCTTTGATTTCATCTTGTTTTATTTTTTCCTCTCTTCTCCTATGATCCTCTGCCTTGTTTCTTAAATTCTGCATATCAGTGAGATCATATGATAATTGTCTTTCTCTGATTGACTTATTTTGCTTAGCATAATACCCTCTTGTTCTATTCATGTTGTTGCAAATGGCAAGATTTCAATTTTTGATGGCTGAGTAGTATTCCATTCCATGTGTGTATACACACACATATACATACCACATTCTCTTTACCCATTCATCTGTCGATGGACATCTGGACTCTTTCCATAGTGTGGCTATTGTGGACATTGCTGCTATAAACATTGGGGTGCCTGTGCCCTTTCGAGTCACTATGTTTGTATCCTTTGGATAAATACCTAGTAGTGCAATTGCTGGGTCGTAGGGTAGCTCTATTTTTAACTTTTTGAGGAACTTCCATACTGTTCTCCAGAGTGGCTGTACCAGTTTGCATTCCCACCAACAGTGTAAGAGGGTTCTCCTTTCTCTGCATCCTTGCCAACATCTGTTGTTTTCTGACTTGATAATTTTAGCCATTCTGACTGGTGTGAGGTGGCATGTCATTGAGGTTTTGATTTGTAGTTCCCTGATGCCGAGTGATGTTGAGCATTTTTTCATGTGTCTGTTGGCCATTTGGATGTCTTCTTTGCAGAAATATCTGTTCATGTCTTTTTTTTTTTTAAAGATTTTATTTATTTATTTGACAGAGAGAGATAGTGAGAGCAGGAACACAAACAGGGGGAGTGGGAGAGGGAGAAGCAGGCTCTCCGTGGAGCAGGAAGCCCGATGTGGGACTCGATCCCAGCACCCTGGGATCATGACCTGAGCCGTAGGCAGACGCTTAACAACTGAGCCACCCAGGCGTCCCTGTCTGTTCATGTCTTCTGCCCATTTCTTCACTGGATTATTTGTTCTTTAGGTGTTGAGTTTGATAAGTTCTTTATAGATTTTGGATACTAACCCTTTATCTGATAAGACATTTGCAAATGTCTTCTCCCATTGTGTCGGTGGTCTTTTGGTTTTGTCAGCTGTTTCCTTAGCTGTGCAAAAGCTTTTTATCCTGATGAAGTCCCAATAGTTCATTTTTGCTTTTGTTTCCCTTGCCTTTGGAGACATGTCTAGCAAGAAATTGCTACAGCTGAGGTCAAAGAGGTTGCTCTGTGTTCTCCTCTAGAATTTTGATGGATTCCTGTCTCACATGTAGGTCTTTCATCCATTTTGAGTCTATTTTTGTGTATGGTATAAGAAAATGATGCAGTTTCATTCTGCATGTGGCTGTCCAATTTTCTGAACACCATTTGTTGAAGAGACTGTCTTTTTTCCATTGGATATTCTTTCCTGCTTTGTTGAAGATCAGTTGACCGTCGAGTTGAGGGTCCCTATCTGGGTTCTCCGTTCTATTCCACTGATCTATGTGTCTGTTTTTGTACCTGTACCATACTGTCTTGATGATTACAGCTTTGTAATACAGCTTAAAGTCTGGAATTGTGATGCTACCAGCTTTCATTTTCTTTTACAACATTCCTTTGGCTATTTGGGGTCTTTTCTGGTTCCATACAAATTTTAAGATTATTTGTTCCAGTTCTGTGAAAAATATTGATGGTATTTTGATAGGGATTGCATTGAATGTGTAGATTGCTTTGGGTGTCCTGGAGAAATTTTTAAGAGGCGGGGGGAAATGTGACCATTGAGACAGGAAGGAAACCTGGAGTTAGTGGTCTCACAGAATCCCAGGGAATAATCATTTTATTTTCTCTTGTCTTTTGTTTAGGAATGGAGTCCCTTTGAGGGATTCATCAGAAATGATTATCTGCAGTGAGAGGTCATATACTTTTTAAAAAGGGGTTTTACCTCTTATTAGAATACTAATTTGAATGACTTCTTATGTATTATGATATAAAACTCTCAAGTTTTACTAGGCACTTTTGTTTTGCAGTCATTTGGCCAAAATCTAATTCAGATCCAGTTTAAATCTAGGTGTCACTTTATGTTTATTTTATTTATATTTATTTATTTTATCCTAAGATGATGAGTTCTTTAGTCAAATATAGTGAGTATAACCATAAGCATAACGTAAATTTCTAGATTAAGAGACAGAATACATTTATTCTGTAATATTGAAAATCATAAATAGCACTTTTCCTTCTTTAGAAAAAAGGGTTCTTTAGGAAGTCAAGAGAAAAATAGAACAAATGAATATTTTGCTTTCTTAGTAGACTATGGTTGGCTATTTTCCCCCTAATATTTTATTATGAAAAATTTCAAACATACAAAGAATAGAAAGAATTATACCTACTAGCTTTAATTAATGTATTGCTGTCTTTGCTTTATCACACATCTGTCATTCTGTTTGTCCCTCTAATCATTCCTCAGTCCATCTTATTTATTTGTTTAATTTTGATGCCTTTCAAGTAAGTTGACTGGCTGTTTTCCTAAGCAGTGTTAGCGTTGTTATTTTTTTTGTGGATGTTGTAATTAAATTGTTAACCTGTTTTGTGCAGATGTTTTTAGCTGACCATTTTTCCTGTTTCTAGAAATACAAAGTTGCCAATAATAGCTGTCAAATTTAGGACATTAAAAAAAAGTCTGGGAAATAGTGTTATGTCCCCTTTCTCAATAGATTTATAATCCATATGCTTACAGTTTTTAAAGTTATCAAAAATAATTTCCATTGGTCTTTTAACATTATTTTTTGGTATTCTAAATAAATACTTATTCATATTCATATTATATTGTTTTTAGAGTGGAAAGATCTACAGACCAAGTCATCAAGCCAGTCAATGTCGGAGCACTGTCAAAATGGGTTGGGAAGATACCCCCAGATGTTTTACAAGACATGGCGGTGATTGCACCTATGCTTGCCAAACTTGGATATGACCCATATGCCAATCCACCTAATTATGGAAAACCTGATCCCAAAATCCTTGAAAACACTAGAAGGGTAAGTGAGATTTTTAAAGTGAATTGATAAAACTGGATATGGAATTTGGGTCCTGAAAAGTTTTTTCTTATTTTGCTTCTTATTTTTTATGATCAGAAATTTAAGTTTGAACAATTATATTTTAGAATGCTTTATCATAAGAACACTTACACTGCATTTTAAGGGTAACTGTGACTCTTCCCAGGAATTATGGGGACAATTATTTAATCTCCTTTGTCCAATTTCTAGAAATGGTGCTTATTGTCGGGGAGATTTATCCTCATAGCTGATTACCACAAATTTGCCAGAAAAACCAGAATTATTAGTGACCTCACTTCTAGGGGTTTTTTTTCCCCCTTTGAACCTAATAGCTACTTTACTTTTAAACCTTTGTTTAAATGGGGCATGATTTCTTGATACTTGAAAACTGAACATTGGCTACATCAAAAGAATTATTAAACACGTGTAATAAGTTACCTTCTGATTGAAAGTTGCTATTAAAGTGTAATTACGGCTTTTTAAAAAAATAAATTATGCTCACATCTTTATAAAATATTGTTTTAGAAAAGCTGAAAACTCAAAGCTAATCTGAATATGTACCTTTCCCATGTAATTTATTTCAAATCAGAATTTTCTTTTTTTATCGTTGTAAAATATACATAACATCAAATTTAGCATTTTGACAATTTATAAGTGTGGAGTCAGTGGTATTGAGTACATTCACATTGTCGTGCACTGCCACCACCATCCATCTCCAAAACTTTTTCATCTTTCTAAACTGAAACTACATACTCATTATCCTTTCCCCCTCCTTCCAGCCCCTAGCAACCACAATTCTACCCTCTGTCTCTACATGCATTCTTTTCTAAAACTGCAGTTTAAACAACACAACTATGTTAGCATAAGTTTACTGATAGGCTTGAGTTCCAGATTAAAATTCCTTGCTTTTCTCAGGTATTCTCTTGCTTATGTTAGTGTCGTTCTCTCCCTACAACCTTATATCATCTCTTTATTCAGTCTTTCTTTTGATACCTTTAATTGACAAACACACTTATATTTCATGAGGTTAATTCCATGTGGATTTTTTTCTCTTATGTATTATGTACTTTAATTTTCCTTTTTCGGTTCACTAGTGGCTATATATAGGAAGAGCTAACTTCTTCTAAACCATCATATATATAGCTAGCTTTTTTATTTTTTAAATAACCTTTATTCTCTTTATGATTTCATATATACATTTTATTATAAAAATATAAGCTTGGTGTATATAACTTATAAAATTAAAAAGATAAGAAAATTGACTTATGTTACCAACCATACACATACCATTCTTACTATTTCAGTGGATTTCCCTTCCTTCTCTGCCCATTGTTTTTTTTTTTAATAATTTTTTTATTGTTATGTTAACCACCATACATTACATCATTAGTTTTTGATGCAGTGTTCCATGATTATTGTTTGTGCATAACACCCAGTGCTCCACGCAGAATGTGCCCTCTTTAATACCCATCACCAGGCTAACCCATCCCCCCACCCCCTCCCCTCTAGAACCCTCAGTTTGTTTTTCAGAGTCCATCGTCTCTAATGGTTCATCTCCCCCTCCGACTTACTCCCCTTCATTCTTCCCCTCCTGCTATCTTCTTCTTCTTCTTCTTTTTTTTCTTAACATATATTGCATTATTTGTTTCAGAAGTACAGATCCGTGATTCAACAGTCTTGTACAATTCACAGTGCTCACCATAGCACATACCCTCCCTGACGTCTATCACCCAGCCACCCAATCCCTCCCACCCCCCACCACTCCAGCAACCCTCAGTTTGTTTCCTGAGAGTAAGAATTCCTCATATCAGTGAGGTCATATGATACATGTCTTTCTCTGACTGACTTATTTCACTCAGCATAACACCCTCCAGTTCCATCCATGTCGTTGCAAATGTCTGCCTATTGTTAAACAAAGGTAAGATTGCATTGTTTTATAATCTTACTTTTGCACACACACACACAATTTTGTATCCAGCCCTTTCCTTGTAATAGTCACAAGCGTGTTAGCTTATTTTTTTTTTTTAGATTTTATTTATTTGACAGAGGGCAGAGGCAGAGGGAGAAGCAGACTCCCCACTGAGCAGGGAGCCCAATGCAGGACTCCTGACTGAGCCACCCAGGCACCCCCGAGCATGTTGCTTTTTAAACATAATTTTTCATGGTTACATAATATATTATCATATGAGCCACCTTAAATCCTTTCTGCAACACAGTAGTAGGTCAATAAATGAATGAACAAATAAAATATATTTCCCTAATATATGTTCTATAATTCATTTTATCATTTTCCTTTTGTTGCTTACAGTTTTCTGTTTGACAAATTACACTACAGTGAACATCTTTGCACAAAATACATTTTAGTTTCTTTTTTTTTAAGGTTAGACTAATGAAAGTAGAATTAAACCAGGTCCAAGTATCTGAAACTTTTTAAGTTGCTTGATATATGTTGATAATTTCTTTTTAATCTTTTGAACTATCTGTATAATAGGTAATTTTATTTTTTATTTTTGTTAATTTTAATAGTTTTCATTGATTAGTATAGCTGAACATTTCCCAGTTGGTATGCATATATTCTTTTATGGACCATCTTTGAAGTTTTAAAAAAGTTTACATTCTGCTAAAGATGAAGTACACATGAGTCTAACATCCATTATCATAGTCTTTGATAATCTCTTGGTAATTGGTAATTCATAGCTTTCTCCTTTGTACAATAGTGAAATGTTTTTTATAAGCCAGAAACATGTACAAATGATATTTAGAGGTTTTCCAGGCAGTAGTAGTTTTCCTACAGGCAAGTTGACTGGCTAGATTATTCTTGGCCTGCTTGAGTTGTAGGTTGGGAAGAATGCTGTGGTTTGAATCCATGTGACTAGAGAATTTGTTTCATACACACTTGTGGCTTTTTAAAGGGTTTCTGAATGCACACTTGGGGGCGACCTTTTTCCCCCATCTCTATTTCTGAAGAGACAAATAATTTTGAGGGGAAAAAAGATAAAGTGTGAACTATAATTGCATTTTTGAGCACTTCATGGTAATACATACAAGCTGACATTCTTGTTTTGTGGGGTTGGGTTTCATAGCCCTTCTTATAATCTAAGTCCTATGTTTTTTCGAAGCTTCTTTGCTTGCAAAAACTCAGGTGCTAATATATCCAGCATTGATGATCATGAAGTTTCATAAAGTAATGCTTAAAAAGTGATCTTTGATTGTTAAGTGTGATGTGAGAATGAGTCCAGAGAAAGAAGGTGGCTAGGGAGATTATTCCTTTTATTTATGGGATGGGAGTGGGAAGAAATTCACATTTTGACTGGGAATATAAAATCTGAAGCTCCAGGCCTAAAAGTGCTGGTTTTCATATAATTCTGGGTAGTCTAGAAGCATTGGTGTCTGAGTCAACATATTTTGGGGACACATTGCCCAATTTTGAACAGAAAATCATGTGCTTGACGGTTGGTGACTCAGATGGTAAATTGGAAATTAAATGCTAACATATTCCATACTCTTTCCCATCATAGTCTCTAATCCCAAAATTGTGGCACATTTAAGTAAATAGTGCCCTCTTGGTTGCAGCCTTAGCCTTCCACTCTCCCATAGGTTTTTAATCTTTTTAGATTCACAAACCTAATTGAGAATCTGATTAAATATATGGATCCCTACCTTAGAAATGGAGACACAGAGATGCACAGAATTTTACCCACCATTTCAGTGAATTCGTAGATGTCCCTAAAGCCCCTCAGATTAAGGACTTCTGTTTTGTAGTCTCCTTGATCAGGCTCATCCACTCATGTGGCTTTGATTACAGCCTATTTGCTGATGTATCTCCCCGTGGATTTCTTTCCTAGGCCCCAGGTTCCTTATTTCCAGCTGCCTTTTGTATATCTACACCTACATGCTCACAAAGATTTGAAACTCAGTGACCAAAATAGAACTTACTTTCCGAACTCACTCCATTGTAGGCAGAAGCTCAATGGAAACGTTCACTAAACTGAGCAGGAATCTGGAGTAGGAGTGGGATAGGCTAGCTCATCTGTACTTGAAGCATCTGTGAGCCACTGAGCAGATAGGAGGAGCAGAGTCCTCGGGGCACTTGAGTCAAGCCAGAGAACAGTTTAAAGACCTGCTTACTAAACCTGAAGAGAGAGCTGAAAAGCAGATCAAAATTTGAATGGACTATGCAGTTGAAAACCTGAATAGACACACTAATAAAGAGCAAGTAGTCAAATGGAAAAGCAGGTATCAGGAGGCTTCTTCCAAAGGCTGCAGAGCCCACCGTAGCAAGCAAGAAGGAACTTGATATAAAGCGTAGGAACTATTGGTAGAAGTGTTAGATATTGTTGATTGCCTGTTCCATCTTTTCCTGTTAGTAAGAACTATCTCTTAAAAAATAAACTAAAAATTCCTGGTATTAATTTTTCTAGACTTTCTTATAGGTGGGATAAGCATGTGGCCAATTTTTATCTAGGCAATGCTATATAAGGAGATGTCTGCTAGGGTTTTCTGGGAGACATTTAACTTTCTGAGAAGATAAAGAATTGTATGAAGAGAGCTTATCCTTCCCTTCCTGCTTTTGAACATTGCTATAGAAGAACATCAGGTGTGGCTCTGCTGTAGCTACGTTGAGATCATAAGAGAAGATATCACTGATACTTGGACGATGATAGAAGGAAGACAGAGAAAGAGCCTGGGCCCCTTGATTTCTGAGCTACTGGGCCTAGCTCAGGACTGACCATCTACCTCACCTCTGTACTTTTTATGTGTTTGAACTACTCTTAACCAATTATTCTGTAATTGTATCTTAACTGCTAGTGGGATCCTATTCCTGAGTGTGTGGAGGAACCAAAGCCAACCCAGTGAGGCAAGCAGAGCGAGTCCGAGAAAGAGTCTGGCACTATTTGAAGTCCTGGTTCTCTGTGAATATCATATTCAACTCTGCTCTTGCCACAGTTACGTGAGACATCGTCATGCACATCCAGGAAAAA